CATATTTCACATCTTTATTACGTTAATATCAACCTCATTTCCCAGGATCATTATCATAATTTTCATATGTACGTTATGCAATTATTATCACTATCATTATTAGGGTTTATGCTTTCATAACAAGTATCATCATCATTATTACTCATCGTTGCCATCAGTGTGATTACTATCACCTCTAATGACACTTACACTGTAATTATTACAAGTTTGTATCATTATCTTTCCTACTATCATTACAATCATTGTCCTCGTAATCAAAGGGTCAGTTTGATTCATCAGTCTCTGCTCCCTGTACGATAACAAGGTACATATAAGTAAATATACTTATAGAGTCTTTGGTACGATAAGACAAGAGAGCACTGACCGACCTTGAGCGAGAACCGTAAAGTACGACTGTGGGTTCGTCATCTGCTTATCTCGTCACATCTCTCTTGGTTTCGGTTTACATGAGGGGTATAGCTGAACGAGTGACCTAAATGCGAAAGCAAGGACCAATGGTTTGAATGTTTAATTTGTACTTTAATGTACTGTGGGGATATCTTAACATCTAACATAGTAGAATGTGATGAAATGTCACAATGTAAATGGAATAAAAAGGGGATGTCTGGTTTTCGCAAAAAAAAAAAAAAAAAAAAAAAAAAAAAAAAAAAATCCGTTTTATTTTTTTACTCCGTCTGATTTCAATCCTTTACAAGTTAGAAACGTCACAGCATTTTCTTATTCATCTGGTTGTAATTGCTATTGTGATTGAGTTTATAAAAAATGGATTATAATCCGAATGGGAAATCAATAACTGAGGTCACATACAGAAAGGGACACAAAGAAATCACAGCCAAATATATAGTGTAGACAAGATTGTTCCACTGTGAAGATCAGTCCATATCTGTAAGATATCTTGTCTTACTCACATACATAGAAAGTGTTTCCAAAATATCAATTATTCAAAATTTAATAGAGTGGCCTTTAACTTTAATAGTTTCTTTATAATCAAATGATAACACAGATAATATAATATGATTTTAAATTTCTATCTGTAGATACACTTTTTTGCATATACGATCCCGTAACAAAGCCTGCGTGGAGGTAATTAACCTGATGATAAGCAATCATCTTGACACTTTTCTGGCTGTCGGCTATATTACCCTCACTCCTGTCATGAAACTGATAACCTTACAGATATCATAAACATAATTTCTTTCGTATCAACATTGACGCTGATATATCTTTGCCTTGTTATTGTTGGATTTTTATTACCATTCTTATCATCGATAATCATTGCAATCAATATCATCCTCATCGTTGGTCGTAGTGGTTGTAATAGCAGCAGTAATACTAGTAGTAGCAGGTGGTGGTAATCGTGGTAGTAGTATCATCACCTCTATTGCAATCGCTGCCAAGAAATATACAATTCCACCTTCATCATTATTTTCAGAACGGGGAAACTGCACCACCATGTTATTTAGATGTAGATAATAGGTCTACATTATTCCTGCGCTCATCCCAAGTCCCATGTTTTGAGGACCTTGGTGTTTATGTTTGTCATATTTTGGAAGACAATACGTTTTATTTTCTATACAACCTCTCTCTTTCTTTAATTCCTTGTCGTTTGGTTACATCTAACTTTTAACTTTCATGACTGATATATACTAGCAAGAGCCGTTAGTTACTTTTGGTATTATGTAAATAAATCTGCTTCTAACTAGATCATACAGAGACCTTGGGCGTGTGTCTCAAGTAACCTGTACCTGAGATCATGACCACTTTTTTATCCTTGCTACTGCTGTAGGTGCACTCGTTAATGTTGTTGTTACTTCTTCCTCGTTGTTGGTTAAGCGTTGATGAATATACGTGACATTAATGTTGAATCTCATTTTGTAGATCACCACATTGATTTTGGAAAATGATCAGGTCTCTAAATAATTGTCAAATTTTGCTTTGGAAGTTTGTTTGCAATATTTCCCCCAATTGTGCAGAAGTGGTCTCCCTTAGATTACCAAGGAAAACATCAGTGCCGTTGTCCTAAAGGCATTCTTAGATAAATTCATTTCTTTTTCGTTTCGTTTGTCTTTAACATTGCATTTTTTCTCATATATATATATGTGTGTGTGTGTGTGTGTGTGTGTGTGTGTGTGTGTGTGTGTGTGTGTGTGTGTGTGTGTGTGTGTGTGTGTGTGTGTGTGTGCATACGTACATACATAAATATAAACTGATAGATATAGATATATGTGTGTTTATGAACACGTGTGTATATATGTATGTATGTATATATATATATATATATATATATATATATATATATATATATGAGTACATATATATGTATGTAAACACACACACACTCACACACACGCACACACACACACACACACACACACACACACACACACACACACACACACACACACACACACACACACACACACACACACACAGAGACGTGTGTGCGTTTCTGAATAAAAAAACAGTCGTTCTTGCCCAAGATATTGCATTCACAACCTAT